CCGGCGATTCCTCGCCGACGGTGAGTCCAACGGCGACGACCAAGGTACTAAAATGATCACCAAGACTAGGCGCATCGATTGACATCCCTATCTGTACTGATTACGGCCCTATACAAGCTCGACGGTGGCCATGGCGGACGAGGTGGCACGGCAGCGCTACGCCGGTGATGTGAAACCAGTAGAGCTCAAACAAAGGATCCAGGAAACACCAGTAGCTCACCCCGAACGCGTTGAAGCAAGGAGCGAGGTCGGAGAAGCAACGGAGAGGCGTGACGACGACCACGGTGATCACGGCAGAGCAAAGATCGTCGGTGAGGAAGAACCGGCGACTGCAGTGATCAAAACTAGCAAGCAACACAGGATTAAGCACCATAGCATTGAGATGAAGCCGTAGGTACACTGATCAAGGCCAACGGCTCACCGGAGTAGGCTGGCCACGGTGAAGCGGAATCTCGGGTGAGGTTGCCGGCCGCGAGGAAGAAAACGATGAACGACGAGTTCACGACGAAATCAAGCGACTAGAGCTAGCTAGCTGGGTGCACAAGGAACTAGCGGAGCTGGGACACGCATCGCTGCGACGGCGCAGACGCTGGTTCGACGGCGAGGGCTCAACGGAGAATGGCGGTGACGGCGGGAGAAAACAGAGCAAGAGAAAAGAACGACGACGACGGCGCCTCGGTCCAAATAACACGGCTCAGAAGCTCAAGGAAGCTGCGCTGTGGCCTTCACCGCGCCAGCGCGACGCCAAAAACGGCCACGACCGAGCCTGGAAGGAAACCGAAGATTGCCGGCGATGAGTTGGCTTCCGTGGTTACTGTTCATCGAAATTACAGAATTGCCATCCGCCAAAATTCCCAAATTACTCCCAAATTTTCATAACAACTCAAAAATCTCCAAAAACAAAAGTTGTTCAAAATCAAAAGTTCTACCACTTTGCTTTTGAAACCATACCCAAATTCGGCCTACATTTTGAAATGAACTTTTGAATTTAAAGCGGGGATATTTAAGGAATTTCGCCTTTTTAAATAACTTCAAATTTTACTAAACAACTTGAAAAACTCCAAAAATAAACTTTGTACAACTCGACAAGCTCTACAACTTTTCTTTAAGACTCAACCCCAAAATGTGCTTCAATTTTGAAATGGATTTTTAGGGTCGGATTTAAATATTAAAAATCAGGGTTTTTGGAATTTCAAATCAATACAACGATTTCAAACTTGATTCAAACAATACCAAGCAATACTTATAACATAAATGTAAACTTATTTTAGTGAATGCATAACAAAATTTGCAACATGACCAATGCCTTGCAATGCATATGATGATATGTCCGGTTTTTAATATTTAAACACCCGAGGTGTTACAATCAGTAGCGCCACCCTCCACGTGTGGTAGGCGCCGATGATCCCCGACCCCTTCATGCCCCTGTCCTTCAGAATTTGGAGGGCGGCGAGGTGGTCCTTGATCCTCTTCTTGTCTTTGTCCGGGACACCCCACCTCCACAACCTCGGAGCCTGTTCGATAAGGCGCCCGGTGTACACCGGCAATGGGGCGGTCACGTCGTCCTTGACGTAGAACCACTGCGAGTGTCACCCCTTGTTGGAGGTCAACAAGCGCATCAATGGGTAGTCGTTCGCCCGGGTGTTGCGCAGATGAATACTGGCACAACCTATCTGCGTGCTCAGCTCCTGCTTCCCGACCCGCTTCTTTGATAGACTGGCGGCGAAGAAGTGCCGCCACAAATCGAAGTGAGGACTAATCCCCAGGAACCCCTCGCATAGGGTGATGAACGCCGCAATATGCTAGATCCCATTAGGATTAAGATGCTGCAACTCCACGTGGTAGTAATCCAACAGCCCCCGAAGAAACTTATGGGCAGGAACGGTGAATCCCCGCTCATGGAAGAGAGCAAAGGACACAACATATCCCTCGGGCGGCGATGGCTTGTCCTCATCACTAGGCAGCAGCCACTCCGTGAAGGCGGACAATGGGCGAAGGAGGCCGCGGCGGACGAGGCCCTCTAGGCGCTGAGAGGTAATGTTGGATTTGCACCACGGCTCCATTGAAACGACGGGAAAGGGGGTGGATGCAAGCTCGACGGCAGCTGCGATGCGGATGCAAGCTTGATGGCGGCAGTAGTACTAGTGCGGGAGGCTCAAGCGATTGGCGGTGGAGGTTGGCGATGTGAAGGCGAAAAGGCGGAGTACGGAACCCTAGGGGCGAACCCCGTGGTTTTATAGGGGCGACGGATGCGAGAAACGCAACCGTCCGCCTCGATCTCCGAGCCCGCCATGACATGCCGCCACATCACGTCGGGGGATACGCGCCTGCGATGCCTATCCTTTCCCACCAAAATTGCCCCGGACGGTTCGCCTTCCTGAGCAGATCGGACTCGTTCCCCGTGGAGGGGATACGGGCAAAAAAATCTCTTCTCCGGCCCATGTGGGCCCAGAAAGCCCAAGGGTCGGCCCGGCGGTCTCGATGGCCATCCCAGCAAGGGACAGGCCCGCGGGCGACTAAGACCCAGGTACGCGAACATCAGTAGGGCCTCGATCCACGGTCGAGCCTCAACCAGGCTGACCCTGGATGAAATCCCCGTGAACAGGATACCAAGGTCTCCTTAAAGCTATCCAGTTGATAGAAACCGAGTCTCATAGCCTTCCCCACGAAGGGTCCGAAACACCCCCCGGGCGATTCTACCCGAATCACCAGGGGGCTCGGGGGCTACACCCATCGGGTGCGCTCGCGTGCACCCTCTGGCGAACCGAAACACCCCCGGGCGATTCTGCCCAAATCACCCGGGGGGCTCGGGGGCTACACCCATCGGGTTCGCTCGCGCGCACCCTCTGGCGAACCGAAACACCCCCCGGGCGATTCTGCCCGAATCACCCGGGGGCTCGGGGGCTACTGTCGGGGACCTAATACCGGGGTACCTAATGAGGTGGAACTAATGACCATCGAACGTTGACACTTCTGAACAGACGGGAACGCTACTGCGTTTCTTATCCGAACGACGGAAGACTGGTTCCACCTCGCTCGACCCTCGAGGGCAAGGCTCCACCTCGCCCGATGGCTAAGGGCTGGCTCCGCCTCGCCTGACCCCCGAGGGCTAGGCTCCGCCTCGCCCGACGTCCGAGGGCCGGCTCCGCCTCGCCCGACGAGTACACCCTGCGCCTTCACAATGATGAGCACAGGGTACGACATGACATTCGAGTCAAATGCAGCACCAAGGACCATGCCCTGCACCGCGGCAGGAAAGTATCACCAGGGTATGACGGGATGGGCGCTTTAGACCATTCCGGGCATGGCAGAGTCCGAATAGTGTTGTAGGCGCCGCCTTCAGCCCTCGGACATGGAACCTGACATAGACGTACTACAACCACTATGGTCCAAGAAGAGACTTGCGCCCTGTACAGTGATGAACGTACAGTCACCGTGCCGTCCGCTCCCCATAGGGCTATAGGTCAACACCCTTGTCCGACACGCCGCCCGGAGGGGTGAGACGGGACGTCACCACTTGCTGATCCGGTAAGGGCATGGCGTCGTCAGCACACAGGCATCCGGCGAACATGCCAATCCCTGACACCGTCTGGCCGTGTCAGCGAGGCTGGCTCAGCGGGAAAGGAGGACCCAACACCTCTGAGAGGGCTTCTTGGCCTCTGGCTTTTCTCTTTTCTCCGATCTGTAATCTCTGCTCCCCCCTTGGTCTATAAAAGGGAGGGCAGGGCCCCCACTAAGGGGATCGACTCTTGACAGATAAGTTCAACACACACGACACTTCACACATAGTTGAAGCAGCGACCAAGCTCTCAGCGACCCTTTCAACCATTCCATCAGAGACTAGGGACCCGTCCCTCTCTCGACCGTTTGTACCTCCTACTACGAACCTTTTTCGGTACTAGTAACACGAGCCGCAGCAGACTGGACGTAGGGATGTTCGGCCTGAACCAGTATAAACCTCGTGTCCTTTAGTGCACCATCCGGGCCTAACACGCATCAATTATAAATTTACTAGCCGGTGTTTGTTCGAAACACCGGCACACGCAGGCCCAGAAAACTCCCGAGCCCCTGCCCCACCCTTACACAGCGGCACCGTCGCCCTATGAGAACGGGCCGGTCCTTAGACCTGTGCTTTGGCGTAGAACAGATGAGGGGATTTTTTTAACCCCAGCCTGAAATTCGCTCCCACGGGGAGTCGAACCCAGGACCTGAGGAGTGCCGCCGGGACGTTCTAACCAGTTGGACTATAGGCCCTTTGGCCCTTAGGAAATAGTATCTTCATAGCTTGATCCTATCTTCATAGCTTGATCCAGTCAAGTAATGTATGACTTCTAATGATGATTATATATGTATGATTAACTGAACGTATCCCTGACAATCACTAATCATAGGAAATCATTCTTGATAGTTTTTCGGTCTTTGCCTATCGGTTTTGGCCCACGGGACATTTTCTGGGTAGTGTTCGGCCCAAAAGTATGTCCGAGTGCACATGATCCACTATCCCACTGCTATCTTGCCCGTGTCACTACAAAAGGGGCCTCGCTTATCTCCTAGTACCGGTTATGGCAAGGTATAGCACGAATGCATTGGATAATAGTTTTTTTTATAATGGATCATTTGGGCTTTAATCTCATCAAAGAGAGGAGTCCAACATTACAAAGAAGGTAGACATAGCTATTACAGTAACTCACCGTACCCACACAAAAAAATTAAAAGACATCACGAAATAGAGTTCGACATCATTAACAAATCATAATAATATAGATGTCCATTCATAGGAGGCAAAAGAATTGCATAGCTATTGACTCTTAGTTCGGGCAAGCCAAAATCAGCAGCTCCTTCCAATCGGAGCCCCAAAACTAGTACATAACCGGCTAAATAAGAAGTGCAAAAACGGTTTTGATGATCGGGATTTATCAAAGGTGATTTTGTTTCTCGAGAGCTATAAGGCCCACAAAATTAGTGGAGCACATATCAACAATTAGCAAGAGACCGATGAACTAGCATGGCTTCTTGCAGAAGCACTTGCGGTTGGACAGGCCAAGCTTGCACTCGCCATCGGCAAAGCTCTCCTTCTTGCACACCTCGGGGCATTTGTCGCTATTGAGGCAGAAGCCCTTGAACTGGAGACTCTGCGATACGCACTGCCTCTCTTCCTTCCCCTTGCTTTTCTCCTCCTCCTCCTTCTCTTTCACTTTGTCCTTTAGCAAGGTCTGCTTGGCTACTCCCATTTTGGCATCAATGGTTGCCATCTCTGCATGCACCATATTGATCAGTGATCACATTTCATTGTCCCATTTTGCAGATTTTGCAACGTACAGATTAATCACCAAGAACAGGTCCGCGGTGACCAATCAATCTGCCTGGTACGAGTAAGATTATGGATGGCTAATGAGCAATTAACGCCTGACACCATAAGGCATAAGCTAATCACCTGCTGTGGCGAGGAGGAGAAATAAGAAGAGCACCGCTCCGCGAGACACTGCCATCTTTCTCTTGTTTCACCAGGAACGGCTGAACCAGCGGAGCGCGATTTTTTTTATTTCTAACACTTTTTTTTAAACTATTTTCAAATCTGACACTGTATTTTTTTCAAAACTAACATTTTTTGCCGCACCTATTGCCATGGCGCGGCCAAACAACACTGACGCGCCATGCATGGCAGCGCGGCAGGGGGGTGACGTGGCACTGGCCCGGGCCCTGACCGGCGGACGTGGCAGGCGCTGCCGCACCGCATATCTTGGCGTGTCAGTGCCACGCCACGCCGCACGGCGCGGCAGCGCTGACTACATGTCGCACCGCGAGCCTCCCTCCCTCTGTCTGCCTTACTTCGAAAAGAGGTGCAGGGCGACCGCGCCACCCCCTCCCGCCTCTCCCAAGGCTGCCGCCACCCGGCCCTCCTTGCCCGCCTCCCTCCCTCCCTTCCATCCCCCTAAGCTTCTCCTCGGCCTCGATCACGGTAATAATGCTCTTATTTATCATTTGAATGGTGGGTTCAAATATTATGAATGGTAGTTAGGGTTTGGAGGAAAATTATATTTGGGAACTATGGGCTAGGGTTTGGAGGAAGATATTAGTTTGATTTGGTCAATGTTAAGGTTAATTAGATAGTTAGAAATATGTTTACCTTGTTTAGTGTAAGGTTTATTTTTGTTCCTATAAGTGTTGGTTATATTATTTTAGTTGTAATGCAAATGGTTATCTTTTACATTAATTTGCGATGTTTTGATTGATGTTAAATTACAACCATTTTATTAGATGGAAGACATGTTTCGGGAGCAGTTGTGGCGAAAACGGGGTCATCCTAGAGAATTGTACCCCGACGCGTCTAGCAAAGATATACCCCCGTCCCTCCTGACCTCCCTATCCCTAACTGTGATTGTGGTTTCCCGGCCGACGTGTTTCAATCGAGACATCCGGACATAGCGGCACATTGCTTCTACACATGCAGTCGTTTTAATGTAAGTAATTCTTTCTGTACCTTTTTTTTCTTCTTTTGTGTTAGTATGTTACTAATATTTTGTTGGAATCTTGTTGTGTAGGCCCATGAGAGGTGCCTTTTTTCAGTGGATCGACGGTGCAGACAAGTTTGACCCAAGGTACTTCTTTTTCGACGATTGGTGGAGAGGGAGACATCCATGTGAGCACTTTCAAGCGGTGGGTTCCACCTCTCCCTAACCCCCCGCCAATGACGACTAAGGAGAAGCACCTAGCCACAGTTAGACGACTTTAGGTGTTTGCATTTGCAAAGTGTAATTTCAAGGAGTAGCTCTATGGTCCTAAGAATCAATGACCAAAAGAGCCGCCAAAGGCAAAGGAAAAGAAGAAAAAAAGGTAATTTTCAAAGCACCTCCTGTCATGTGCGAATGTGGTGTTAAAGCCAACTATGGCCTAGTCCCTTCGGAGCTCGGAGTAGGCCATTATTGCGGTCATATGGTTGACTATGATGAGGTTGGTTATTGTTGTGGAAAACATGAATTCGTTTTTTCATTTTCCAAAGAGTTATGATCTAATTTTTCGTTTGAACAGAGCACTAGGAAATGCAAGTGGGAATCTTATGATGGTCAAGCTAAGTTCTTGGATGACTTGAAGAGAAGGCAAGTACTTGCATGGAAGAGGGGATATGGACCTCAATACATCGACCTCTTCGTTAAACTGCACATAAAGAAGATGCGTGAGTTTACTAGACAGCGTGGTATTCGTAACCTGATCGGTGTTAGGCTTGATAAATGGGGGTTGGAGAGACAGAGGGCGTTAGAGGAGGAGAGGGCAAGGAAGGAGGCAAGGGAGCAGGAAAGAGTACAGATGCAGGTCTTGAACGACCATGTTGTTGCATTGTGTGCCAGTGAGTCATTGGAAGCCTTGTTATTTTCATTGCCTGCTTTTAAATATAATATAATTACATTGCTAACTTGTTGTATTTTGTACATGAAGGGATTGGATGCAGCGAGGATCATGTCGCAGAGGTGGCATGTGCAAGATTTGAGGAAAAAAAGTTACATGAGCACAGAATGTGAGCTGGTCGCACCGTTCTATCTCTGATTGTGTTGTCCAATGAGAGGGACAAGGATGAGGATGGCACTGCTAGGTTGAGCGATCTCATCGCTCTAGCTGAGGCGAGCTTGCAGGCGAAGGAGGATGAGGACGACACTGGTAGTCTGAGCGAGCTCATCGCTCTAACGGAGGAGGGCTTACAAGTAGAGGAGGAGGATGACGCGTTCTTTTCTCAGGCCGTAGAGGCCGCAGATGAGGCTAATGCCGCTTACTACAGGCAACAGGCCGATCAAGACAATGCTGGTGAGCCTAGCCACATGAACGAGGCGGAGGAGAACGCGTTCTTGTCTCAGGCCGTAGATAAAGTGGAGGCTGCTTATGTGGCAGAACCTCCTAAATTATAGGGCCCACATGCACCTGTCACTGTCCAATGACCTTTGACAACCATGCATATGTTCCCGGTAACTTAAGAAGACTGTCGGGTGTCCTCGGAGAACCCTGAATCATCCACGATTTCTGAGCAGGATCCCATTACAGAGTCATTGCAGTATTACAACATTTATTCAAAAATCTACACCAAAGTAAATCAGCGGAAGTCTTACAATAACTTAGTTTACAAACCAGTAGTTTTAAACCTTACAACTAAGTTCGATAATTATTACAAAACTTAGTAGTGGAGTGGTATTATAACATAATACAAAACACATAATTAAACTACCCTGTCCAAGGGCCACACATTTACTTATCGTCATCGCATTAAACAACAATCATGCAGCACAGTCTAAAGCAGACCTGCTCATGAGCCTCACCTGCAACAAGGGTCAACGAACCCTGAGTACAAAAGTACTCAACAAGACTTAACCGAAATAAGAATTGATAGAACGTAGGAATGCAGGCTCAGGGATTCAAGGTATGGCTTTATCAATAATCAAAGTTCTTTTGCGTAAAAGCTCTTTAATAAAATTCTTTACTTCAACATATAAAACTTCATAAGAACCACATATGAATCTGCCATGATCCATAATGAGATCATGAACTTCATATCAAACTCTTTCTCAAAATCCAGCTCAAGTTTCATTTATTAATTACGATGATGAACAGAGAGTTGAGTCTCCATAACCGAGGAGCAACGACGATTCGAACCGATTAAAACCTAGCTGGGGATAACAGACCACACGACATATGCAGGTCCCCGACCTACATATACCAACCTACCCTCGGATCCTCTAAAACAAGAACGGGTCTGCGCCACCCGAGAATACAGTACTCCACCAATCCATCCCATTGCCACGTGGGTACACGCTATTCCCGCCATCTCTCCACTCCCAGTGCGTGAGTAGCCATTCTTGTAATAGAATCGCCAAGTTAAGACTTACCGGAGTATGTGGTTAGTACTACAAAGTCTCATCTCACACAGTTCAACAACGGACGGTTCTTAATCGACACAGGCGGAAAGAACCCGCTCACAAGACCTCCATATCTTGTGGCTCCCATACACCGAGTCCGTCCGGTCTAGATTTATTACTCCACATTCCCATATCACATGATAACGTAAGTAACCAAAGATCCATTTAAAACTTGTAGGTGACAGATAATCACCCGGCTTTCATCGTTCTAAGCATAGCTAAGCATAACTAGGCATATACGAATTAAAACTGGTAACAAGGTAGATATGAAAAAAACAAGGTTGGTAGTGCACCAATTAGGTTTTCACTTCACTCCTAATCATTTAATGCAGTAAATAAAAGCAAAAGCGAAATCAATTTGTAAATCACAAGGTAGGTTTAAATGCATCCGGGGCTTGCCTTCGTTGACGGAAAAGTTTGGTTCCAGAGTCGTTCCACAATTATCAAATCTGACCTCAACAGGCGGATTAACTTCTTCCACAACTTGATTAACTACCACGTGCTCACCTTCGTTCACTACACGTAGTAACAATGCCATGTTTAACATGATGCGAGATATGAAACATGATGCTCGATGATGGATGAAAAATTAACAACTTGAATACAACTTTCCTTCGCGGTACAGTTACAAGTCAAACTAACTAAACCTTTATCATAACACATGCTTCAATTGCCAAGGATCATTATTAACTAATGACCCAAGGTCATCACTCAATCCAAAATTCAATCAAAACCTAAATCATTAAAGGTTACTATTTGCTTTTATGAATTAATTATTTAATTAAAATATATGAAATAAATCAACTTGTTCCAATTGAGCCCAAAATTTTTGTAAATTTTCATCTCATGATAACTAAGTGGCAAAACAATTTTTATAATTTTTGGATAATTATTTAAGCCTAGAAAAATCATGAAAACTCATTTATTAATTAATTGAGTAATTTTTATCACATTCAAAAAGTACTGAAAATCAACATTTCATATTTTTTCTAAATAATATACATCACAGAGAGGTCACACAAAAATTTTCATAATTTTTGGAGCTCTAATTAATTCTACACAAAAATGACAAAAACATACACTATTCATTCATTTCTGAAAATAGAAAAATTCCATTTTGAACACTGAGTCACTGACAACCCGACCCCACATGTCATCCCTGACATCTCGCGCTGACCACGGTGACAGCGGCTTTGACCGGCGAAATCTCGCCGGCGGCGAGGTCTCCGGCCACGGCGAAGGTACCAAAACACTCCCCACACCACCCCGCATCGATTGAAGGCACTAACTTGAGCAATTACAGCGAGGTTCGAGCTTGACGCTGTCTATGGCGGACACGGTGACACGGCTGCACTACACCGGTGACGTGAGACCGGTAGCAGTTAAACTAAGCGCTTGGAAAGGATCAGCATCTCACCTCGAACGCGATGGAGCAAAGAGCGAGGTCGGAGGATCAACGGAGATGCTGGTCGACGGTCATAGCGGCCACAGCGGTGCGAGCAACGGCGACGGCGGTGCTCCGGTGGCTATGGCGAACAAAAGGAGCAATCAACCGGTCATAGAGCATCACAAAAACAAGGTGGAGCTGG